GATGGTTGTCGAAATATCTTCGCTCAAAGTTTAAAGAAACTTTAATTTTTAGTGTCGATCATTTGCTGTGCCGATAATGGAGATAAGTCACGTGCATGCTGTGTCGTTATAAGCCCCCTAAATTTATATGGCTAATAAAATTTTTTTCAATAACGATAACGATTATGATAACACGCTAACTACTAAAAGATTAATAATAGACTTATTTTATGATGTAAACACACTAGTGACATCAAATAATACTTATGTGTAGTGAGATCATTATTATTGCATCAGCAAAATCAAGATCGCTACACAAAATGATATCACGAAAACATGCATTATGACGTATCATGGCTCAGTGGTACGAAATTGCTGCTTTTTTTATCTCTACGTATAACAAAGGAAACATAACAGATAATACGTACATACGTACGTACTTTTATTTAAGAATATATAATTAAGAGATAATAATTTGATATATGCTATATCAGAAGTTACCAGTTATAATCTATAATTTTAACAATTTTTTTAAAATGTTTTATTGTTATTTCCAATTTTGTCTTCCTATTGGTCGCATTATGATGCGAACCCAATAGGAATTACAGAAAAAAAAATTTTTAATTCAACGTAGGTTATAAATCAAACGCTTCAATTATTTCAATTATTTTTTTTAAACTATAAACTTACAAACCGAAAATTCGAAATAAATATGTATAGTAAATATAAGATGTCATATTATAGTACAACAAAAATAATACATTTTGTCTTTAAAAAAAAAAAACCAATATCTAATAATAATAAATAATACTGTATAGTTCTAATAAAGAATTGTATAATAATGTCATAAATGACTAAATATTGTATCCGGATTACTAAAATCAAAAAATTATTAGAAACAATTCAAGAATAATGTGATATTTGATAATAAAAAAAACGCTTACTGCATATTATTGAAAAGATATTCACTGCCATTTCGAGTAAAATATTTTGGTTTCCATTCCTCTTCCAAAACTTTTGTATCTTTACGTTGTTTTTCCTCAACTAAACACTTCTCCTGCGAAGCAAGATCATAATTTTTTTCTAATAGTGCGCTAGTTACTTTTGACCATAATCTAAATGTAAAAAAAAAATGTCAGCATATAAAAATATTTTATGTAGAACAAAAAGGATTCACCAAAATTGCGTACCGGCGAGACTCTCTTTCGTGTTGCTTATCCTCTGAATCAACAATTTTTTGACATACTGAGGATTCAAGAGCATTAAACAAAACTTCACCTTTTCCAGTCTATGAGGATTAAAAAAATAAATAAAATACATAAAATACGTTAATACAGAATGTCAATAGATTAACTAAGATTTAATTACGATTTAATTATGATATAATAACCTTTAAGTTAGTAATGTACATAATATCGGACCATTTCCCAGTAATTTCAAAAAGAACTTCTCCCGTTGATTCACGCATTATCTTTCCATGAACAGCATTGTAAGTTCCAGTGAAATATCCCTAGAATTATATTGTACAATAATATTAGATGCTTTCAAGTGATAATAGTGATAATAGTGATAATAGTGATAATCAAATACGGATACTTTTCAAATCTTTAAAATACATACCTTTGTTTGAAAGGTCATTTCACAAAGTAAATCAGTTTTCTCACAAAGGATAGTTGTCTTATCACCTAATTCCATCACCATTCTTCCGAATAGTATACCACGAGCATAGAAATTTGGCATGGTAATTCGATAAACTTCACCAGGACGGTTAGTAAAATGAAGTTTTGTTTCACCGTGCATTAACGTCGCTGCACTATTCCCCAAGAATTTAGATTTCGGTCGTAAAGTACCATAAATTAATAGATCGTTCTCCGGACTTGCAAAATAGTATGCAGAAACGGGAGGATGATGTGATACTTGTTCCGCTATATATAGTGCTTCAGTGTTATCAGAAAATTTCCACCGTGAACGAAAGAACTCACCCAATACTGGATTATAGGATTTTTTAACTCCCTAAAAACGAACGTAATTTAGAATTATTGCATTTCTATAATATGTATATAATATGTATGTTGTGAAAAAGTTACTTACCTTGGGTTTTACATGCCACCCGGATAAATAATACCGTACAACACTTATAAATCGTTGGACATTGTTTTCTTGCTTTGGTGCCCTAATACAGTAAGAAAAGCATATTTGATTATTAAAAAAAAAATACAATAGGAGAACTTAAAAAGGAAATATTTCGTATAAAAGCCCTTAAATAAAGTTTATCAATAAATAAACATAGAACAACTACCTTAAAATTAGATCTGAATGACTCATAAAATCAGTGATTCTTTCTAACATGCTTCTTGGTTCCAAAACAAATGCCGGTAGTGCAATTCTATGCAATTCAGTTCCTTTACGTATCTGGGCGATAAGCCCTAATATAATACGGCGTGGCTTTTCATCAAGAACTTCAGTATTATCCATATTCTCTTTTTCATCATCGTGGGCAGGCATTATTGAATTCATGTAGCTAAACTATCTGGTTTTCTAAATTGTAATATTAAAAAATTGGAGTTGCTCAAAGTTGAAAGAAATAATTTCGGCAAATGAATTCTGAAATCATCAAAAGCATTAAAATAGTCACAAACCTAATATAAAAAAAAATCTAACCTTTCTCGAGAAAAAATAATTCGAAAAACAAATTGACCGTAGTGTTTAAAAGGAGAAATCAATTTCTAAAATTGCAATTATTTGTTAAACAAAGATGTTGGCTCACCATTAACATACTGAATATGTAATTATTTGTCGTATTTTTGCAGTCAGTTAATATTTTGTGTTTAGAGTTTAAAACCAGAATTTAAGTTCGGACATAAAAATCCGAACATATCGACATTATGCCTGTAAGATGACAAATGAGAGTGATAAATTCATTGTTTTATCTAGCATAAATTTCAGGTGGTCAAATACAAAAACGGTACAGGTATATGCATGTACGTTAGTACTTAAGTTCATAATCATCAAATCACTTACGTACGTACGTACGTACGCTGATGAAAATCTGATATACCAAATTTAAAATTCGGCACTAGTTTTGCGTTACTAAGTTAATAAATTTATACCCGAAATCTATATACTAAATTCTAATTGAAAATCATGTGAAATTTTTAATTATGTAATACTTCAATCATGCTCTTTTTTATAAAAAATTTCAAATCCATTATCCTTTAATTGGAAAATTTATGATACAGTATACTGGTTTTCTTCATAATTATGACATGAAGGCGCAAAAATAATATTCTGGTTTAATTTAAATAATTTTTAAGACTTAGCTTTTTAATCTTGCCAAAAGTAAACAAAGGTGCAATCATTTCTTTAACGTTAAAGGGACTGCGAATATTATCTCAAATATCATGATTGCTGCGCATTATAAACCACTCTATATAAAGACTAAGTAAAAAAATAACTAATATACATTTAAAAAGAAGTCTTCCATAAATGCAAGTTAATAGAGAAACGTGTATTTGTAGAATGTGCATTTACGGAGAAATTAGTTAGGGAGGCTCCCCAGAAATGCTGGTCATCTGATCAGATAATTAATATTTATATATTATTAAAATAATTAAAATATTTCATACTGTACTGTTGTACGCATCACATATGTCATCAGATGACCAATACTTTAGGGGGCTGTCCTAACTAATCCCGTATGGAATAATTTTGTATAATTGTCCGGAGTGAAGCGGAGGACATTATGTTTTACGACAGTATTTGATAAACAGTTCACGTGAACAATTCTGCCCGTTTACTTCCAACCGTGATGCTGATTGGTTAGACAATAATCACCGATAAATATTAAAATACAGTACTACGTATACTGCAGTACCGTGTTTACTGTATTTAGCTCGGACATACAATACATTGTCTACATATGACAGGAACGTTCAACTCTTATTTAAAAAATATAATATTTAATTTTTATTTAATCGAAAATGGGTTTAAAATTTTATGGATTTATATATGACACGGGGCCCATGCATCGTGGTTAGAGTGTCCAAGATAGTGATGTAATCAGTGTTTTTATTAGCCTTAAAGACCAATGCTTTTAATTAGCCCTAACCTTTGTCTAATTAGTTTAGCCTTAAGCCTTAGCTTTGATGACCATCCAAGATTATTTTGGATTATGTCCAAATTAAACACAGTACTGTATGTGACCAAACTATTTTTTGGGACGCCCCAATATGTAATAAAAGTATCATACAATTTCGGCAATAATAACGGATAATAACACGATAAATGTATGTGCGTACATATCAGATATGTACCTACCTATATACCTACGTACGTACGTACGTACTGTACCTATCTATTTAACGTGATATTAGTCATCGCATAGTTTGGACGTCCCAAATAGTTATAGTTACATCGCTAGTCCAGGATAATGGATCTGCCCCTGATTGGACGAGGTAATTCCATCCGACTTTTCGAAAAGTCTGACCTGATATAATAACAATTAAATATAGCAAAAAAAAGGTCAAATGAGATAGAGCTACCACTAGAACTTTGCTTTTAACATACGATAAGATATATATTCGACATTACATGTTTTCAACAATTCATTTTTTAGACAACCCGAGATAATTTTCCTCGCAATAAAATTGGCCCGACTTAGCATTAGGGTTGGTCTGATTTAGTGTTAGTGTTGGTTAGAATTATATGTCGAGAAAATGTCTTGACTAAGAAAAGAATTGTAAAAAACATGCAATATCAAAGAAATAGCATGTCAACATTACGGTGTCGATGAAATGAGTTGGCGGGGGAAATAACTTTGGGGAATCATACCGTAATCGTGGCAAGATGATCTTAAGAAAATACCCGATCACTATATCAAGATCACGGGGTATTTAGTAAAAATACCCTGATCCGTATGTGTACAAGCGGAAACTTTCCGCTAATACCCAACGGCTCAGGATATAATACATGAGTTTTGATATTGTTCTCAACAAGATTTTAGTTTGCTTCAATGATCCTAATTAGGTTTAATTTCTATTGGAAACTTATAGTTGGACTTTCGTTTAATTAATTTGCTTCAATGATCCTAAATATGTTTAACTTTTATTGGTGACTTACAGTTGGACTTTCGTTTAATTAGTTTACTTCAATGATCTTAAATAGTTTTAACTTTTATTGGTGAATTATAGTTGGACTTTAGTTTAATTAGTTTGCTTCAATGATCCTAGTTTAACTTCTATTGATGACTTATATTTGGAGCTTCGCTTAATTAGTTTGTTTCAATGATCCTAAATAGGTTTAACTTCTATTGGTGACTTATAGTTGGACTTTCGTTTAATTAGTTTGCTTCAATAATCCTAAATAGATTAAACTTCTATTGGCAACTTATAGCTGAACTTTCGTTTAATTAGTTTACTTGAATCAATCATCTAGTTATTTACATAGCTTAAGTATTTTTTGTCTTTCACTATTAAAAATATATTTTATTTTATTTTATTTAATGCTTATACTGTATCTTGTGTGGTAATTAATTTTATAATTGTTGATTAAGATAGATGTGATTTAGATTAAATAGTATTGTTAATTTGTAAAATTCATTGAAATTTTATATTTTCACAAAGTTCTTAACTAATAATAATAATAATAATAATTCCGATAATTCTATAGTATAATAAATATGTGTTTATATACAAATCTTTTAGTTTGTTGACCAAGCGGCAATAAATTTTTGGTTTTATCTTATAATGCTCGGGTTATTTTCATTAATCGAAGCTATTTTCAAATTCTACAGACTAGTAGAATTAAAAAAAAAGGTTTAAACATTGAAACTTACCAGACAATTATTAAGAAATCCTCGTTTTAACTATGAAAAGACAGTTAATATTAGAAGGTTTTTAAAAAAATCAGAACTAATATAATTTTCTAGCCAATCGCAACTTAGTATTTACAACAGTTTTCAAAAAGGCGTGAACGGTCGCAGATCGTCATGTCATGATTTCCGGGATTTTCAAGACCCTAATCGGAAGTTTACGTTTTACTAAATTCTTCGATTTTCCACATAGGTAGGAAATCGTTGTTCCCACATTTTTGAAAATGACTGTGATAGATTCCTGATTTCCAGATTGTGTATAGGGATAGTAAATGTTTTATTGTGGTTTGCAAAATTATGTAAAATTTGCAATCAAAAAAAAAAAAAAAATCGACTATTTTAGATTTCTTTAAATATCTTTTTTATAGCTGTAGATTCATTATTTGTAGCATATCTGATTTAGTATCTTTTGTAGGAATATAATTTGCATATTCATCATGTTGTATAGAATTTGATTATGCATTGTTAAATTTTGTTTCTTTTTAGCTCGATAAAATTTACTATTCCATGATGAGTAAGAAAAAAATATAAACGTTGCACCAGATTCAATATTATAAGAATTATTACATAATTCTAGTAAATTAATTTGTTATTACTGAAAGAATCATAATATTTCAAAGTAAAACCATAAGGAATTTAGTATAAATTTTCTTGAAAATATTTTTTCAGTTGCAAGTATTAGTTGATTTATATACGTAGAAATCATCGATTTCTTTTTTATTTATTTTTTTGATCTGCAATTCTACATAATTTTGTAAACCGCAATAAATGTATATTATTATGAATACTAAAATGGAATTACGAATTTGTTTAACATGTCAATCAAACAACTTTAATAAACGAAAAATTAAACATTTCTTATGGTTATAATAAGGGTGGGTTTTGGATTTGGGCGAATCACAGTTTATACCAAAATTTCTCTAAGAATTTTTTTTTTAGAAGCTAAAAGGTGGTTTTAATAATCAAAATTTTGAGATATCAGTTGGTTTCTATATTACCCGTGCACATACACCCCATGTACAAATAGAAATTGCCTAAAAATAAATGAATAAAAAAATTCTTCAAAACAATGCTCATATTCGTGAAAGACCCGTTAAAAGAAATCCATTTAAATTTTACAAAAGTTGCTGAACACATCTTGCTAAAAATGTAATTATTGCGAAGAAGACTTTTGATTTAGTTGATTAATTAAAAGGCCATTTGTAAACTTCAAGAAAACATAAGTTTTATTAAAAGCTTAAAAACAGGATTTTGGTTCTTCAAACAATTCATCCGCAGAATTTATTCAATGAGGTTTACATTGTAAAGCTTGTACTTTCAATACCAAAAAATGTAAAACAAACATAGAATAAAAGGTTGTATTGGCCTATCCCTTAAACTGTATTCGGTCCAAATTTGCACCGAATTTCCGATTCCCGGCAAATTTTCCGTACTACTTACAAAATTTATTAATAATAGCCCTCTATTGCTTGTATTATCATGTTCGCATATATCACTATAACACTTGAGTTGATATATATTTGCTGTAAGAAATAACAGTATGATTTAATAAACATTTAAAAATTGTTCTTTAAAATAGATTAATTTTAAAGTACAAAAAACTTGGCTATTCCATGATCCTGTGATTGGATTTTAG